CGAAAATATAAATATACCGAAAAGAATTCTATTTTTGCCTCTAATGTGAAATTAAATGCATCAGCAACAAAACATTTAATTATATTATACAGGGTGTCCCACTTAAGATCTGCCCTCAAATAACATCCACAGTTTTGAAGGTAGGAAGAAATGCTTGAAATAAAAATTGTTTGGTTTCGAGAGGGCAGCATATGATGATGAATATTTTTTCCCGGGTGGAGGCACTTCGGAGATTTCCAGGTCAATTTCGTTTTTTAAATGGAATTACATGAATTTTTTTTACAGAATATGACTCCCCTAATTATTCTGTCTAAAAAAGTATTAAGGTAGAGATGTCAAAAAATCAATAGTTTACGAGATATTTTATACTTTATTCTGGCACATATTAACATAAAATGTTAAATAATTTGTAAACTATTAACTTTTTTATATTCGTACCTTAATACTTTTATGAATAGAATAATGAAATGAATCAATTGATAGAAAGAAAACACATACTTGTTTTAAAAAAATATGCAAAATGGATAATTTTTTAAATAAGCAACTATGTGTTTTCTTTCCACCAATTGATTCGACGATGACGACGACGCCGCCGTCGTCGTCGTTAAAAACGAAATTGACCTGGAAATCTCCGAAGTGCCTCCACCCGGGAAAAAATATTCATCATCATATGCTGCCCTCTCGAAACCAAACAATTTTTATTTCAAGCATTTCTTCCTACCTTCAAAACTGTGGATGTTATTTGAGTAGCCGGTATCGCCACCATCCCACTCTCCTCTAATGAGTATACTTTTGGCGTAATCCCGATCAATGGCAATATTACAGTGGACCATCCACTTTCTGAGAGGAAAGGTTAACAAAACCATTTTAATTAAGTTTTATTACAGTTTTTAAGTTGGGAAATTTGGGGGGATTATTAATATTTTCAGATTTGATTGCGTTGAAAGTCCGACAACCATATCGGCACGCAATTATCATTTCTGAAATTAATTCATTTAAATGAATTTACAATAGTTCAACATCTTAACGTTCTGACCGTTATGGCGCTTCTTAATTTAAAGTATTATGTTTAACATTAGCGGTCTTTAAATCTTATTATTGTTATATAATTAAATGTTTAGTTGCTGATGCATTTAATTTCACATTAGAGGCAAAAATAGAATTCTTTTCGGTATATTTATATTTTCGATTCTCAGTACAAAACCTTAATCATTTACTTTCATTTTGCATAGGGCGCGAAACAAAATGTACAGCGTTTGCTTTTGATTTTGTTTCTGGGTCGAAACTTTTCTCGAGTTTTGTTTTGCGTGCCATCCCTATACAAAACCTTAATCATTTACTTTTGTTTTATATCGGGCACGAAAAAAAATGTACAGCGTTTGCTTTTGGTTTTGTTCCTGGGTCGAAACTTTTCTCGAGTTTTGTTTTGCGTGCTATCCCTGCTAGCAACTGAGATACGCTTGGTCTGAGGATCATAGAAACGATAATTTTTAGTTTCACCTTGATAGCCTACTAAAACCAACCTCTTAGCCTTCAAATCTAGCTTGCTCCTGAATTGCTTGAATACGTGAACATAGGCATTCGCTCCAAAAATTCGCAAATGTGCTAAGCTAGGCTTCTTGCCGAACCATAACTGGGAGTAGATCCAGATGTTTGCTTCGACGTCGTCCTATTCAATGTATAAACTGCTGTATTTATTGCTTCCGCCCAGAGAACTTCAGGTAGACTAGATCCAATCAACATTGAGCGTGCACTTTCCACTATGGTTTTATTATCGCGTTCCATCCTTCCGTTTTGTTGTGGTGAGTACGGAGCTGTACATTGCATCTGAATACCACGAGCATGTACATAATTCTTAATGTCATTCAAGTATTCTCTACCGTTATCTACTCTCAAGACTTTCATAGAATGTCCAAACTGATTTCTTATCAGCGTATCAAATAATTTTAAATGTTCAGAAACATCAGATTTGTGCTTAATAAAGTACACTGTGCGAAATCCGGAGACCTCATCTTTAAACGTGAAAAAATATTTCGCGCCTCCTAATAACGCTTCTGAGAACCACACACATCACTATGGAAAAATCTTCCTTTTTAAAGGATTGTTCTAACGAATCACGTTTCGCATATGACAACTTGTGCGACTTACCGAATTGACACGTTTCACATAAAGAATAGTTCTTATTTTTAAGTTTAAGTCCTCGTACACAATCTTTTTCAGCCATCTGGCAGATAGATTCATAATTCACATGTCCTAAACACATCCTAAACGTTCATGCCACGTTTTCAAGTCCGCGACGACAAGATTGAATTCATTTGAGTTAGTTTGAAACGATGTTATTGTTCGAAAAAACATACGATAAATGTCATTGTCCTGTTTCTCACCAAATGCCATCACTTTATTATTTGCATACACAATTACACTATGCCCTTTGAACTGCACTTCATATCCTTTCGATGTGCATACACCTACTGAGAAAAGGTTCTTTCGAAGATTCGGTACATAAAATACATTTTCAATAACACCACGTATCCACTTGCCGTTCACGAATTTATCAATCATAACCTTTCCAGTTCCTTTGGCATCACATATGCCATTGTCACCTAGACACACTGTTTCACCATGACTTGGTCGATAATCTATCAGCCAATCCTTCCGAAAGATTATATGTCTGGAAGCGCCACTATCGGCTAACCATACATTGTTCACGACGGTAGCATGCATAGCCCCAGCGGGTTTCATCTGTGCCCAGGGCCGTGCGAAGAGAAAACTGCGCCCAGGGCATAACATGAGTTTGGCGCCCTTTCCGCGGTTAAGAAAACAAACATTTAACTGGTACAAAATGCCCGAATGCCGTGTAGTTTTATAAGTCCGCCTTTATATGTATAGGTAATATTCTTTGTGCAATTTGAAATGAATACTTTTTCAGTTCTAATAAATATGTAACATACATAAATATTGTTAGGTATTTATATTATTATAATAAAACTAGATCAACTCATAAATTAGAACAATAAAGCTTCTTCTTTATTAAAACTATTTTTCTTACAATTAGTCTTTAGTTAATAAAAGAAAGCTGTTAATACAATAAAATTTAAGTCTTGAGTTAATAAAATAAAACTTGTTAATATAATAAAATTGTTTGAACAATTACAAAAATAAAATTTGTTAATAAAATAAAACTTTTCTCTCTCCGTTTGGACAATCACAAAAATAAAATTTGTTGATAAAATAAACTCTGTTTAAACAATTACAAAAATATAACTTAAAATTAGAAAATAATTACGTCAACTTTACTTTCCTAGCTTTTAAGGAAGCAAAATTATCAATTATTTTTTCCAAATTTAACAGTTGCGTTATTTCGTATTCAATTGCAAGTATACTTAAATTGCTTAATCTCTCTTGGCCCATTGCAGATCTTAAGTAATTTTTCACCAATTTAAGTTTGCTGAAGGATCTTTCTGCTGATGCGGAGGTGACTGGGATAGTTAAGTAAATCCTATATGCTGTCTCCATATTTTTGTAATTAGGTATCAAGTCAAAATCATGAATTAATTGAAGGATTTCTAAGTGGTCCATTTCTTTAAAATTTTCGTTTAAAGGCGGAAACAATTTTTTCGCACTCAGTACTTCACTCAAAAACTCCGGCCCGTTCAAGTCAGCAGCATATTTATCAACCAGATCCATACAAAATTTGCTCAAAATATTTTCGTCCATTGATACTATATTTGAGCCAGAAAGAAATTCAAAATCTTCAGATACCTTTCGAAGTTTCTCAAATCTCTAGTTAAGTTGCTCGATTATTGTATCAATAGCTTCCAAGTAAGCAACACGAAATTTTTCATTCAAATTGGCACTTTCATCAGAAGCTTCATAATCAAATTGTTTTTTTGTTTTTCTTTTCCGACTCTCCTTAAATACAGGATCTATATCTAATGACTTGGCCAAATCTATACTTTCCTGTAGAAAGTTTGGAAACTTCTCATTTCTTATTGTGTTTATAATATTTTTCAGACTTTCAATAAGTTTGCTAGCGATCGAAACTGTAATAGTTTTTTTCTGTAGAAGAACATTTACATTATCAATTTGCTCCAAGATGTTATTCCACACTACCAAACTGCAGATAAAGTGAAAATTTTTTATCTGTTTTAAAAAGTTTTTTGCTCCTGAGTATGTTTCCTCATTTTTTCTAAATTGCGTAAGGTCTTCCAAAGCTTTAAAAATATTTGGCAACTCTTTGTACACTGCAGAAATAGCTTGCTTTTTCAATGACCATCGACTATCACAATGTTTCTTCAAAGAAACCGTTACATGTGACATAAGAATGTCCCATCTGTCAGGAGAAGATGAGAAAAAGACAAATAAACTTTGGACAATACCAAAAAATGTCATCATTTCTGGTGATACGCTAGCAGCGTGAACTCCAACTAGATTTAATGAATGTGATGAACATGGTATAAAATAAGCTAATTTGTTGACTTCGATAATGCGAGCCTGCACTCCTTTGTATTTCCCCGCCATGTTCGCACCATTATCGTAACACTGAGCTCTACAATTCTGGATATCTAAGTTATCAGCCTGCAATTTGTTTAAAATATCTTGTGCCAGTCCTTCACCCGTTTTTTGTTTGGTTTCTATAAAATCGACAAACCTTTCTTCAATTGAACACTTTTCATTTTGTGTTACCTTAACATATCGTATGATCTGAGTCATTTGCTCTTTGTGAGCTGTATCTGGAGTACAGTCAAAGGAAATAGAAAAGTACTTCGCTTTATGAATTTCGCTAATAATGATTTTTTTTACTTCGTGGGCAAATAGGCTTATCACTTCATTCTGTATAATATTTGAAAAGTAAGAGGTATGTCTTCCTGTGTGTGGAATTTTGATTGCCTCGACGTGACATTGTATTTCTGAGTCGTGTTTTGCTATTAAC